ACTATATATATATATATATATATATATATATATATATATATATAGTGAGACACTATCTTAAAACTCAAAAAATAAAAAAACAAAACAAACAACCCAAGACTTAAGTTCTGGCTTTTTTACTATGGATAATTATGCTTTTACATACAGAGATTTTTGTCTCATTCTGAAACCTAACTGCAGCATACCCATCAAGCCAGCTGCTTCTGGACTGTGTGTGTGCATGTGTGTTGGAAATGTGGTGCTCTGCAGAAAGCCTCTGAAAATTCTGTCCCCAGACTTTACTTCTACTAGGCAATCCTGGACTAGATGTGGGCTGCATTAGGAAAAGCCACACTTGTCTTTTAGCAGCTCATGGGCTGGTGGTAGGGAGGATGTCTGTGTACTGACAGAGCTATGTTCATGGGAGGCATCTTCTCTGAGTGCCCAACATGCCCAGCCTGACACAGTAAGATTTCTTGGTGTGAGCTGATCCTCAGAGCAACTCTGGAATCCCTGAGCACCTCATATCATCACTGCAGTAGAGGAGGAAGGGTCCACTGCCATGGCTTGGCCATGGTTTGGAGTGTGTCCCCCAAAGTTTGATATGGTAGGATCTTAGTCCCCAGATGCTCATGGAATCTTTAAGAGGTTGGGCATAGAGTTGATGAGTTGTCAGAGGCTCAGTGGAGTAAAGGCCTTGATGCCAACCTTTATAACTAAGTTAAATTCCTGGAATGTACATGGTGAAAGGAGAGGAGTGACTCCCACAGATTGTCCTCAGACCCCAACACATGCTGTGGTGCTCTGTAAACAAACAAACCAATAAAAATGAATGAATGAATAAATAAATGTTAACTTTTTTTAGGGGGGCCTCAGGCTGGGAGGTGACTCAGTGGTTTGGAGCATGTACTGGTCTTCCAGAGGATCAAGTTCAGTTCCCAGCACCCATGTGAAGCAACTCACAACCCCCTGTAACTACAGCTCCAGGGAATCCGGCTTCCTCATCTGGCTTTCGCAGGCACCTGCGCTCATGTAGACACACTCCCCTCCAGACACATATACCCACAGGCAGAAGAAATTCAATCTTAGATGAAAGCTGGGTAGTGCTGGCAGCACACACTTATAATCCCAGCACCCAGGAGACAGAGGCAGGTGGACCTCTGTGAGTTCGAGGCCAGCCTGGTCTACAGAGTAAGTTCTAGGACAGCCAGGGCCACACAGAGAAATCCTGTCTCAAAAAAAAAAAAAAAAAAAAAAAAAAAAAGAAAGAGACAGAGGAGGCCTAATAGGAGGCTCTCAAGTCACTGGGGTGTGCCCTGAGAAGGGAATTGGGGAACTGTGGTGTCTGGCTGCCTCCTTAAAGATATGACCCTTATTCCTAAACATGCTCCTGTCACTGCTGCTGACCTGAGGTGATACAACTAATGAGGGGAGTAGCTTCCAAGGATGTGAGTGCCATTTGGAACTCCTATCAGGCCCACATGAGCAAAATGACAGTGAGAGAAGCTTCATACATGGACAGTGGCACTGTAGCAAAGGCGCTGTGGTGACCCTGGTTGTCTTGCATGGGGTCTTAGAATCTGCTGCAGACTTTCTGATTTCAATATCACATTTACAGTTAGTTTTCTGATTCCCATCCCCAACCCCCACACACACGCCATTCTCTAGGAGGCCTTTTCCATGGAGGGTGCCTGTTCTTGGGGAAGGGCAAGCACCACAGTCAGTGCAAAGGACGCTGGCAGCACCTTCACATGCAGCCTCAGGTGTTCTGAAAAGCCTGTGCCAAGTGTGCAGGCGCTCCAGGGCAGCAGCTGCACTGACTGAGTGCCCCTTTCTGGCAGACTATCCACTATCCCAGATTACAATGTCATTCTGCCATGTGAGGAACAGAGAGCTTGTGCCACGGCACACTGACCCTGTGGGGCTGACAGGCAGCCGAAGAGGAGCCTGTGTTCAGGCTGTCAGTGCCAGCTGGCCTTGATAGTCTGCTTTTAGACCAGCGAAATGGCTGAGTAAAGGCTCTTGTCATGCAGACCTGGCAATCTGAGTGAGTCTGGTGCTTGAAACACTTAAAAGTGACAGAGGGAAGTGACCCCATAGAATTGTCCTCTGAATGCCACATGCATTCCCATTCACTAATCATATGTACACGTGAACACACACATACTAGAAAAGTTCATTTCTGTATTTTTCCCTAAGACAAAGCTATGAGGAACAAAAACCTTAAAATTATGTACAATTGAAATTTCCATAGAAAAACCTTGCTTGTTTGGTGGAATACTGTACCACAGGAGCATGTTTCCTCCAGAAAGCTCAGTGAACAGATTTCTATTCTATTTTTAAAAAAAATGATTAATTTACCAGGTGGTGGTGGTACCCGCATTTAATCTTAGCACCTGGAGGGAGAGGCAGATGGATTACTTGAGTTCAAGGCCAACGTGGGTTACAGAGCAAGTTCCAAGATAGCCAGGGCTACACAGAGAAATCTTGGGGGAGAATGATTCATTAATTTTTATTTCATGTGCATTGGTGTTGTGCCTGCATGTCTTTGGGAGGGTGTCAGATCCCCTGGACCACGAGTTACAGACATCTGTGCACTGCCATGTGGGTGCTGGGCATTGAAAGGGTCCTCTGGAAGAGCAGCCAGTGCTCTTAACTGCTGAGCCATCACTCCAGCCTTTTATTCTATTGCTTTTCTTTCATTGTTTTCAAGGCTGGATGTAGCAGAAGTCTAGTAGAATCATTGTAGCTGGGATAAATATCAGAACGACGTTACTTTGACCTTGAAGAAATCATTGAAGAAAACTGTGGTTGTTTTCTGTTATCTTTAGAGTTGTTTTTCTGAAGGAACTTTACAGCCTTTGCATGACTTTGGTCACAAGACAGTCCTGGCACACCTGGCATGTCTTACATTATTGCATGCTGCAAACAGTGCACAAGAAGGACTGAAGTTGCAGGGCTGTTATGTTTTCCTTCAGGAAACATAGATTAGATGAGGGGCTTTGTTATGAAGAACTTGTTTTACCAAAAAAACAGCTTTTGTGTAACAATAAAAAAATATGCTTTTGTATGGCTCATCGACATTTTATCCGCAGAAGCTGGATATTCCTGCTGCCAGCAAGGCTTTAACTCATCCTTGAGTGACCCTCTGTCTTTGATCTACCCGTGACAGCTGGAGGCTGTTGCCATGAATCTCCAAGTCACACAGTGAGCACAGATGCACACAGTGCAGGAATCACCTGTGAACCTTCTCTGCTGCTGGTTCCCTTAAAGCAGAATGAGGAACAGGTCTCCACAAGTGAAAGGACAGGTACATCCTCTCCAAAAGAAAACAAGCCAGAGCATGGCAGGATTTTCAGAAGTGACCATCTCACAGCTCTAGAAAAGCCTGAACATCTAACTTTAAGAAGCATCTATGGGGCTGGAGAGATGGCTCAGAGGTTAAGATACTGGCTGTTCTACCAAAGGTCCTGAGTTCAATTCCCAGCAACCACGTGGTGGCTCACAACCATCTATAATGAGATCTGGTGCCCTCTTCTGCCCTGCAGGCACACATGCAGGCAGAACACTGTATAAATAATAATAAATAAATCTTTAAAAAAAAAAAAAAAAGAAGCATGTATGATCAGAAGGAAGGAAAAGAAGACCTCCCCTATCAGTGGACTTGGGGAGGGACATGCGTGGAGAAAACGAAGAAAGAGATGGGTTGTGAAGGGAGGGAGCTACAGGCAGGATACAAAGTGAATACAGTGTAATTAATAAAAATTTTTAAAAAGAAGAAGCACGTATGGGGCTGGAAAGATGGCTCAGAGGTTGAGAATACTGGCTGTTATTTAGAAGGTCATGAGTTCAATTCCTAGCAACTACATGGTGGCTCATAACCACCTATTGTGGTTATGAGATCTGTGAGATCTGGTGTCTTTTTTCCAGTGCACAGGCATACAGGCAGGCAGAATGCTGTATAAGCAATAAATAAATCAATCTTTTTAAAAAGAAGCATGAGTGGCTGGATGCTTACTCACCATGGCAGGTGCAGGGGGGATGCAAGAGGAAGAGAAGCCAGCTGAGGCAGTTTTAAAAGGAAGTAGAAGAGACAAGGTGAAAAGGGGGTGCCACTGCTCCTGGGGTGGCTGAAGGAGAGACAACCTGCTGACAGCAGAGCAGGAGGGTCCTCACGGTTGGGGGTCCTTTACTGAATGTTGCCTCCATATCATAAATGTCTCACATATGCTCTTCCATCTCTGGTGCCAGATGGCACTGGTCAGAGCAAGGCCTCAGGCAAGTCAGGCAGGGCTTGGGTGCAGATGGGAACCCTGAGATTCCAGGCTCAGACTCCAGGCACTGAAGGGCTGCCTTTTACTCCCTCTGGCTGTGTAGTATGTTCTAGGCCTTGGTGTTCTAGTTTCTCTTCACATAGACTCACTGACCACAGACTGGGACTCCACAATTAGGTGTATTCAGGAACACTCAGGCACCTTGGGCTTTCTA